GGATGTTTTAATTGAAATGCGTCACTTTGATACTAATTAAACTTTAATATGGCAATAGGCTGCACAGTGGCACAGTTGGTAGAGCTGCTGCCTTGAAGTAAGAAGGTTCTGGGTTCAATTCCCAGCCCTGGTCTTTCTGCATGGAGTTTGAATGTTCTCCCTGTGCATGTGTGGGTTTTCTCTGGTTACTCCAGTTTCCTCCCACAGTCCAAAAACATGACTGTCAAGTTAATTGGCCTCTCCAAATTGCCCTTAGGTCTGAGTGTGTGTGCATGGTTGTTAGTCCTGTGTGTCTCTGTGTTGCGGCGCGATAGACTGGTGCCCTGTCCACGGTGTACCCTGCCTGGAACAATAGCTGGAGAGGCACCAGCAACCCTCCTGACCCCACTAAGGGACAAGGGTGTAAAGAAAATGGATGGATATATAGCAATAGATATTTAAATCTTAATCTGTATTTTCCGTATTTATATACGGTCTTTGAATGCAGGTCATCTGTGACAATTTAGCCACTTTGTCTTTTCATTGCATTGACAATATTTTTAAAAACAAAAAAGTAAAAATTCTACTAGTTTATAAAATGTATAACTATATTCTCACATAATGTATAAGTTTTTAATGACTTATTATAATTGAGAGTCTTCGCCTTAAAAATAATTAAACTTTAAGACGAAAAAAACGAAAGAATACATTCAAATACTGTAGAAAATAAGATCTGTGCGTCACCTGGACCAGATATGCTCAGCTGGTCGTTGGTGACGTGATCCTCGGATTTCAAACTCAAATCCCGAATCACACGTCACAGATTGACGTCAATGACCGCCTGAACAGAGTCCTTGAATGTAGGCCTTCTGCGATCATTTGGTCCCTAATCATTTTTTTTGTCTTGCAGGTAAATACTTAAAAAAAAAAGAAAAGCCATTAAGGATAGGTTATGCTTCCTTAATTTACGAGCATCACGATGCGTGATGAAAAGTTAATTTTTAGTCCGGGTTTTTACTTAAAGACCTGTATGAAAAGGAGGATGTGTGGACTCTGATTTGCTCAGAGTCCAATCAGAGGCTGGTTTTAAACGGGCTGGTCTCTATTTCGGCTCGTTCGCTGGTAACAAGCTCCTATCGTTTCTGCTCCGCTGACGGGCAAAAGCAGGGAGGAGGCAGATAAATGCTTTAACAACTTTATTCCTCTTTTGAACAAGTACAACGAACAGCTGGCTTCCCAAGAACACATTCAGATATTAATAAGACCTGTGCGTCATCTGCACCTGATTGGCTCAGCTGGTCATTGGTGACGTGATCCGAGGATTTTAAACTCAAACCCCGAATCCCACGTCACAGATTGACGTCAATGACCGCCTGCACAGAGTACTTGAATGTAGGCCTAATCATTTTGTTGGATCGCAGGTAAGTTCTTCTAAGAAAAAACAAAAGCATCAAAAAAAAAAAAAAGCCATTAAGGATAGGTTATGCTTCCTTAATTTACGAGCATCACGATGCGGGGTGAAAAGTTAATTTTTAGTCCGGGTCTTTATTTAAATGAAAACAAGGATGTGTGTAGTATATAGAATTATGCCTATATATAGTACGTTATTTTTTATCCATTATATAACTATTATTAACCAGTTATATAGTGTATAATTCCTTTGTATAATCTGTTAATGACTTATTTTAATTGAAATGCATCATTTGGATCATAATTAAACTTTAAGACTAAAAAAATGAAATCCTACATTCAAATACTTTACGTGATAAGACCTGTGCGTCAACTGGACCAGATATGCTCAGCTGGTCGTTGGTGACGTGATCCTCGGATTTTAAACTCAAACCCCGAATCACACGTCACAGATTGACGTCAATGATCGCCTGAACAGAGTCCTTGAATGTAGGCCCAATCATTTTGTTGGATCGCAGGTAAGTTCTTCTAAGAAAAAACAAAAACAAAAGCAAAAAAAAAAAAAAAAGCCATCAAGGATAGGTTATGCTTCCTTAATTTACGAGCATCACGATGCGGGATGAAAAGTTAATTTTTAGTCCGGGTGTTTACTTAAAGACCCGTATGAAAAGGAGGATGTGTAGACTCTGATTGGCTCAGAGTCCACTCAGAGGCTGGTTTTAAACGGGCTGGTCTCTATTTCGGCTCGTTCGCTGGTAACAAGCTTCTATTGTTTCTGCTCCGCTGGCGGGCAAAAGCAAGGAGGAGGCAGATAAATGCTTTAACAACTTTATTCCTCTTTTGAACAAGTACAACGAACAGCTGGGTTCCCAAGAACACATTCAGATATTAATAAGACCTGTGCGTCATCTGCACCTGATTGGCTCAGCTGGTCATTGGTGACGTGATCCTCGGATTTTAAACTCAAAACTCGAATCCAACGTTACAGATTGACGTCAATGACCGCCTGATCAGATTCCTTGATTGTAGGCCTTCTGCGATCATT